GAAAGTCACACAGCAGTGTTCTGTTCCACTAACGCTTGCCTGTGTTTTCACAGAGAGGAAGGATAGAAGACGTCGTAGTAAGCAGAGAGTGCAGAGGGAAGCAGCTTGGTAAACTGTGAGTATTTCAGCACCTTTGCCATTCAGCAGCAGGCAGGCAGCAAGCCCTCGCCCGGCTGGTTTCTGTCCCCCACCTTGCCACGCTGCTGGTGTCCGTAAACCAGCTCAGCAGAGCTCGGCGAGCAGGATTTTAGCTCTGCAGGGCAGACCCTCCCCAGCTGGGCAGCCTGGAAGCGTTGAGCCAGAAGGTATCGCGAGCTGGCAGAGCGCAAGCGGAGGTTCTTACAACAGTAACGTAAAACTGTTTGAAGACACTGGTACTTTGTTGTTTTTTTTTTTTTCTTGGGGTAGCAACTATCCTGCGCAGTGAAGGAAAATGCAGAGTGCTGTAAAACTTCAGGATTGTAGGTCTGATAATTTCCGCTAATTAAATGTTCATCGATCCAGCCTTCGGGGCAGTTTCATTTAACTGCTGGTTTTCTGTCTTTTTCAGACTAACGTCCACCCTGACGTTGCTAAGTAAGAGACTGAACTGTTATAAAATTACACTGGAGTGTCTGCCAAAAAATGTGGATTTCTACAAGAAGTTTGGCTATTCGGTATCTGAAGAAAACTACATGTTTCAACGGTTCTTTAATTAAGAACTTCTAGTCTTTTTTTATTTTTAAAGACTGTTGGTAGAGGAGCTTGTGCTACAAACATTCTCTTCGTGGAAAATTTATATAGTTTATTGCTGCAAATATAACGATCCCTATAAATAATGAACATCAAATGTGTTAATCCCGGGGAAAAAAAATTACTGACGTTTTAGAAGGGTCCTCTGGGTTAGGAAATAAGCGCTTAGAACTAATTTTTACTACTGTTCAGTCTGAGTGAAGCTTTTTTGTTGTAGCTGAGTTACAACGGACTCTTGGTAAAGGGATGGTTTTTAACCAAAGGTATATATTTTTATCTCAAATTTTTTCTTGCATTGTATTTTTCTAAAGGTTTGCGCTTCTTTTCTTGGCAGCCAAAGTACAGCTGGCGGGGTCGCGCTCCTGTCTGTACGCCGCGGAAGGATGACGTAGCTCGGGTAGGGATGCTGCTTCTCTTGGGCAGAATCAGCGACAGGGAACGGGCGTTTGTTCTGTTCTTTCCGTGAAACCTCACTGAAGTGCTGTTGGTGTCAGCGTGCCTAAAATTTGTAGGCACTATTTTCCAAAAACGAAATTTGTTGTTACTTGTGCGGGTGGGGGAGAATCCTCGTGGGTTATGCTAAAGCTGACGTTCAGAGTCTAAAAATGGATGTGTGCTTCTCGCTGCACTTTAGCTGATAACTTCCTTTGTTTTCAGGATAATTGCTTGTTTTCTGACACAGTAACTTTGCGACAGGGCGAAGGTAACTGGGAAACTGGAATGTCTGACAGAACGCACCCCATCCCTAGCAGGGCTCTGGCTGGTGCTCGGTGGGAGTGTGACTTGGGTTTGGCAGTGCTGCCTTCGGCCTCGCCGAGCGCACCCGCCCGAGTTGCTGTGTTTGAACTCCCTGGGGGCCAGCCGGGCTGCGGTTCTGCCGATCAGGGCATAGCGAACCGGCAGGGAAATCCCCATCCGGGTCCCGAGGGATCGTTGCTGCTTTGGAGCATCCCTCTTGCTGTGAGATTGGATAAATGATGTTAGCACTTTTGCCAGTGATGGCAAGCAAATAATGTACAAAGCCCCAGTTTCAACAGTAGTGTCTTGTGCAAAGAGAGTGACAAATGGTACATCTATGAATAGGGCATTATGAATCCGTGAAGGTTCGTACAGAACAGCCAGTCTTGTTTGTGAAGTCAGGCCTTACAAAACGTTCTTTCATTGTGGTGTGGAGAGCTACTTTAAGCTGTGGGGGGGGTTCTATTTAATGTTCCTGATGGTACTCCACTCAATATAGTGTTTCCTTGGTGATGTCTGTTTTATTTATTGATTATTTTTAAAAAAAAAAACAACTTTAAGCTGAATAAATGAAGACTGCCAAATGTATCTGGTCTGGTTTTGACATTGCTGCGTTGTGCCTAGCGGTGGGTATCCAGAGCAGGAGCGTACCTGTTGTCCTTCAGAGCAGTGCTGCCTGCTGCAAATGCATTTGTTTTCCTTTCCCTGGCCTGAAAAGAACGCTCTTTGGGACTCCACATTGATCTTAAGCCTCTATCTGATCCACGTTTGCATCACAAGTCTCCAGAGGAAGTTCTCAGCTCGTTCTGGTGGTGGAGCCTCTGCCTGCAGGCAGGAACCCCAGCCAGGGCAGCTCTCCTGCGACCAGAGGTGTGCACCTGAGCAGCTCGCTGGCTCAGGGACATGGACACCAGCCTGGGGCTGCCAGGACGGCTGAGAAAAGACCTCGAACTTCGGTCCTGACTCCCTCCTGCCCCTGCTCCCCGCAGCAGGCCTGCATTTTCCTAGGGGTGGGCTTCTCCTGGCTGTGCTCTGCTGACAGAACAGCGAAGTGGCTGGGGCCCCAACTCTGAGCTAACTGCATAAAATCAGCTACTGACTTCTGCTGGGCCCAGACAACTGAGGTGGATTTTCTTGCCTTTTGCAGTTTTAATTAATTCTGAATTTCCATTCATTTAAAGTGGATTATTTAAATTCCATGATATCTACACTATTTAAATCGCTCCAGGCCCTCATTAAGAGTTAATGAAAAGATTAGTGCAAGTGAGGAGCAGGTGACTGTGTACCCAGCTTCAATGGTTGTAAAAAGAATGAGGTGGAAAGCTTGGTTTTGTGGCTGCCTGGCACTGCCTCTGCTGGGCAGGCTCCAGCTCAGCAGCACTCCCCTTCAGCTGCGAGGAGCTCTTTGTTCGGCACCAGAGGTGCCATTCCCAGCCGTGGAAGCAGCTGTTCCAGCAGCTCTGTGGTGAGAGGAAAGGTGCTGTCACCTGCTGCGTCCCACCTGGGTAGTGACTGGGCTGTCAGGAACTCCGAGGAGGAGGGCTAGGCTCTGTGTAGTGTTTTTACACAAGGAAAGGGCTGTGGGAGAGCTGCAGGCAGGGCCTGGCCTGGTCCCAGCAGAGGCCCTGAAGTGTTGGCTGGAAAAGGCACGGAACGCACGGCCAGCACCCAGGAACATCTCTGCAGAGGGCAGGAGGATGCTGCAGAGCTGATACTGCCTGGACTGGGGACTTACAGATGCAGGCAAGCCCCAGCCAGCTGGAAGCACACCCTGTACATGGGTACGTGTGTCTTAAACCAGGAAAATGCCACAAACAACAGCATTCAACAGCAACAAGTGGTATTAAAACATGATGTGTCTCCTAAACTGAAGCAGCCCTGTTAATCATCTATGCTACCATTGCCTCAATGGGGAAGAGCAAGACCCCTACCTCCCTGGGAAGAAAAGGAGCTGAGGATCTTGTCAGAAGCCAACCATAGCAGAGCTACCAGCTTCTCCAGAGGTTTAGCGTTACCTCCTCAGGATTTCAGTTTTTGGGCAGCAGCTCTCTCCCCAGGAGATCTCCAGCTCCTTCACTCTGCTGGAAAGGGAACTTCAGCACCTTAATGTACAGCTGTGGATCCCCAAGGATCTGGGTCCTGCAGCTTTGTGTCTGAACCTGGGGAAGGGAGAAAATTCAACACCTACTGCTACCCTAAGGCCCCAGTGAGGGAGCCCTGCTGCTGACTACCACCTTGGGTTTAACCCCCAGGGCAGTAAGCTAAATGAGATGGATGTCAAGAAGTTTTAAATAAAAGGCTTAATAATAGATATATGAGGAGAACTAATCTCAGAATCCCTTAGGATGTGAGAGGCTGTTAGCTGCAAGGCTGCAGGCTGACAGACCAGAATGACTGTAGAAGGCATCAACAGGGGCTAACGGCATGGGAAAAAAAAAAAAAGATTGGTGGAAAAACCTCAGTCATGAAGTTTGTTAGTTTGTGAAATAGTGTCTCCAGGACTCCAGTGAGGTAACAGCCCCAGACTGCACATGAACAAGCCTCTCTGGCAGGGGACGGCTGGCTGAATCAACAGCGTTCTTCCATCTGCGCTTCATCTCTGCCCCTCCCCAAGGGAGCTGAAACAGAAAGCAGTTTCATGCAGAAGTTCTCATTCCCATCCTTGTTTCAGCAGGAAAAAAACAGCGTGTGGTGAGCGGCACGACAGACAGACATCCACAACCGCCCCTGCAGCCATGTGGTACCCCGTGAGGCTGAGTGGTGAAACATCTGAGAACGTATTTCCCAGCAGCCCCCGAAACATGCTTTTAGAGGGAGTCAGTGAACAGCCCAGAATAAGCCCTACAACTGTAAAACCAGCACTGCGTGCTTAGCCCGTCAGCTTCACGCTGCCAAGTTGTAGCTCTTAAGGAGATAACAGGACATTTTCAGCTTGAAAAAGTGTTACTAGCTAAAGCAGCATATGTTTCTTAAAGATTTTTTCCCTGAAGGATTTCACAGAATCACAGAATGGCAGGGGTTGGCAGGGACCTCTGTGGGTCACCCAGTCCAACCCCCTGCTGAAGCAGGGTCACCCAGAGCAGGCTGCACAGCACCGC